TGTCATAATAATTATTACACCACATCTGGTTAAAGCCTAAACTGGATACGTTCTTACGTTTAATACATTTTGTGCATCGGGGAGGGGGGGGGGTGATCAAAGTATTATTAGGGCGTAGTATTTCTTTTCTCAAAGCGTTTGGGGTTGTATGTGTAATAGTCATAGGGGATTTATATTACTAACAAGACTATGGGTTCGAATAAGTTGAAAGAATGTTTGCATGATTGTAATGGCGACAACCACTGTAAAGGGTTTCATATCTTTTACAAATAGAATATTATTCATAAGATACAATCCCTTGCAGCCGTAGCCCACTATAAGCACTTGTATACACACTTATTGGTACCGGAGGGTATGTGAGAGGTTGTATCGTCTTTGGAAAATCATCAAACGCTAAGGGTTAATACTATACTGTAAAAAGGAATCAAATTAAAAATCATAAAAATGATAATCATGTTTGAATTGTAGTTTGCATTTAACTGCGATAATCTTAGGTAAAGGAATTCATATTCATACGAATGGAATGATACATTATTATTCATGATATGCCACCCTCTTGCAACCATAGTCCATTCTAAGTGCTTGACCATATTGCGGTTGGAGGGGTTGAGGGAGGTTGTAAAGCCCTTGGAAGATCATGCCCTCTAGTGATTGGCAGACACCTTGTAAATACAATTTCTTGGAAAATGCTTGAGCGGGTAAATCAAAACTTTAGCCATTGAGGGAGATTGTTTAAAAAATGGAAAATCTCCTTCTTGTTATGTCATTGGCAGTCCAGTAAACATGTTTTTGGTAAGCGGGTGATTCAAAATTCATTCAACACTAACTGTTTATTTCCACATCATATAACTATGGTTATCTTTTTGGTTTGATTGCTAGTCAGTGGGTGCAATAAATCAAACATGATCTTGTACTTTATTCTTTCCTGTATCACTCTCCTTTACATCGATTATTATCACTCGAATTGTACTTTTCCTCTTGACTGAAATGTTAACCGCAACCAGATTACAGCAAATGGTACAGAAAACATTTTTTTAAATTTTAGTATTAGCCACATTTGATACTATATTGTGCGTTCAGAAGTCTAATGAAAATGAAATAAATTCATCAGCTGAGAGTCAGAATGAGTTAACACCCTTCTGGTCCTCAACATCTATCAAGTAGAGATTTACATATAGGTCCATTCCCGTCCTCATGCAGGTATTAGGGACTTTTAGATTTACATGGACTGATACGTGTGACGTCCATTCAAGGCAGTGCATTAAAAGGACGTCGATCGTAGCAATCCACGTTGTCGTTGTGCAAATCTAAAAGTCCCTATTGGCTAACTGATGATATTCCATGCCTATCAACCTATGCCACGGAGTCGGGAAATTACTTTTCTCGGGATGACATTTACAGGAGTAGACTTAAGACATTAATCCAAATAACGAATGATTCAACCGCATCGACCTGAAAGGTTAGATTAGAATGTAAAATGACCATCTTTTTCCGTTTGAACAAAGCTAAATTGTCGCGGTGTATTATATGAATTGAAATGTTCATAAAATGGTGATGGTGATTATATTTTACAAATAATTAACAAAATATTTACATACATAATAATAGCTAGTTCTTATATAGCGCTTTTCAGGACCGAAGGCCCTCTCAAAGCGCTTTACAGATTAATATACATTCCTGCATGGACTGTTGATTTAGATACCAGTATATTTATCACATTTTGCGCCTTTTTTCCTTCTTCTTCTGAAAAGCAATCTCTAAACATAATATTGGTAACTAAACGTAGAATAAGATGCGGTATTTACGTATCTAATGCTGATAAGAGTGGCACGTTTGAGGCATCAAAATGAATAGGTCGTTTAAAAAATCCTATGAAAAGAATTCCTGTCAGATGGGTTGGATAGATAATTTAGTTTATGTGACATATTTATGCTCTATATATAGAAATAAAAGGGTAGGGTGATGGAGGGAAAGAGATTCAGAGGAGAAAAAGTAACAAAGAAAGTATTACAAGGGAGAGAAGACAAAACGAGAGGTTTAGAATAAAGAAACAGAAAGGAAAAGAGATATATGTGGGACGGAAAGGAGGATAGGGGAAATGTGAATAATTATGTATAGATAGATAGAAATAGAGAGAGAGGGGCGGGTATAGAAGAGATGATGGAATGAGAGAGAAAAACAAGAGAGAGAAAAGTGGTTTTACTTTCTTTATCTATGAATAAGGATATGGTTTAAGCTTTTTTCAAGTTTTAATAATTTATTAACCAGTGTAATCAATTGATCTTTTTCTGTAAATAAACGTATTCAGACGTTATGTTAAGGGGTTCAAAATGTGCATTTGTAAGTGCATTATGACACCGTTCGAATTTCGACATTCATACAAAATCGAAACTTGATAATAAAATACATGCCTTTCGAAATAAAGAGAAACTCAACGTGGACTCACTAAAAGTGTGAATTACAGCTTAATATTTACTCTAAACCTGCCAAACTATTCACATTTTTTACAATCGTTATTCTATTTCAAAACACACAAACCTACATCAAACAAGCTCTTTATTTCTCCGAAGTGCATGGAGTATTAATCTAGAAATACGCGATAATTTTGTATCCCTGCATTTAATATTACATTCATTTTGGTGTGTGCTTAACCTAATTAAAACCGACGTAGTTGCGTGTTAGGCAAACTGCATCAACAACGCTGTGAGGCAACGTCATGCACCAACAGGAGAAGTTTAATCACTATTAAAAGGGGTGTAATATTCCTTGGGGTAAAGGGAGGGGGCAGGTGCAGCGCCAGAAATTGCTAGTCATTATTCGACGTTATCTTATAGATGGCACCTCAAACATGAAATGGTGACGAGAAATAAAGACACATAAGAGAGAGAGAGAGAGAGAGAGAGATAAAGAGAGAGGGTAAAATGAAACGTGAAATGGGGGACTTTAATCCTCTCCCTTTTCCCCTAAACAAAATACTTTTCAAATAGTACCGATGCCGCCCCCTTCCCATCCCCCCCCCACACCTTCCCCTCGTGGTACTCATAATGTCTAGTCTAAAGCTACGCCAGCTGAGTATGTTGGTAATACAGGTTTATGATTTATTAAAGTTATCGAGCGTTATTTATTGTATCCTGGAATTGAAGATCTCAACCTCCTTTTCATTCCGCAACATGACGACGCCATTTTCTCCGCAGGGCATGTCACGTGACATCACGTGGCCCGGTTTATCCCAAACGGGTATCTATTAGAAGATGAGGCTGCGGTGAGGGGGTGTAATTTGTGATCCCTGGCACCCCATAGTTTGGACAGCTGTCAGAAATATATCAACTTATGCCTTCTTAAACAAAACGTGATGGCCGACGGATAGCATGATGAAATATTGATTTAATTATATTTACTTTAAAGGATCCAAAAAGAGCCACAATGTTTCAGACCCTGCTCCCCCTACTCCACCTCCCCTCTTCCCCCCCCCCCCACCTCTCTCTCTCTCTCTCTCTCTCTCTCTCTCTTCTTCTCTTTATCTTTCTCTCTCTTTCTATCGCAAATGATTCCTCTTTGTCCCTCTCTCTTTCTCGCACACATACTTATGACTTCCTGGGAAAACTTTCGCACCAAAATCTTTTTTTCAATTTTCAACTTCATGTTCTTTTTCATCAAAACATCAGTGAAAGTTCATTAAATATCCTATTTCAATTTTAATACAAGGATTCTTATGCAATGACAAATGATAATTTCCTCTATTTTCATTTGGCGCTTTTATCTAAGAAGCGTTTTTTCAGACAAAAACGCGTGGCTCCTTTTCCCCCGACAGACGATGACACACTTCATTCATCTTCTATTCTATCTCCAATTACATGTCCATTTGCATCTTCCATGTCTGTCTCCGTGTTTTGTATTGTCTTTGTTTCTTCTCACCTTTGCTAGTTCACCTCTCTTTCATCACGTCAAGTTCTTAAAAAGAGTATGAAACAAACTACGCCTTTTCAAGCCATTATGTTCCCAACATACCTTACATTCAGTCGCACATAGTTCCAATTCCCCTCTGCACATTACATCAATAAATAGCGCCATTTGACTGTATCGGCTGAGATGAGAACGACAGATTAATTAAAGGTGATGATTGAGAGGTCTCTCTTTTGTTTTCTGACTTGAACGTGACCTTGGTAATGGGGGAGAAGAAGGTTCTAGGCGATTCGTTAAGGAGAGAGAAGATGCTCTCTAAACAGATGGAGGAAGGCGAAGGGTTTTTGTTTGCATTGAGGGGATGGGAGGGGTAGGAGGTGATGGGAGGGGTGTGAGAGGGGATGGGGAGGGGTAGGAGGTGATGGGAGGGTTGTGAGAGGGAATGGGAATGGGTGTAAGAGCGCTGGACGGGGTATGAAAGGGGCCGATGGTCAAGGGGGTAAGAGAGGGTTTGAAAGGGCCATGAGAGGGGCAGAGAATGAAGTGCTATGAAGAGGAATAAGAAGAGATTTGAGAAGGGATAGGATGGGATAAAATAATTATAGTTGGGTTAAAAAAGGGGATGAAAGGGGCTGAGAAAGGAGTGCGAGAAGAGATGGGAGGGGGTGTGGTAGGGGGTAAGGTATTTATTAGTTGTTAAAGAGTGTTATGAAGAGGAAAGGGTTGGTGAACCATTGTGGCCATTTGTGGGGCTGTGACTTTGTTTGGGGATAGGGCAAAAACCATTCTTCTAGAAGTAGCTTTTACTTTCTGACGAATTAATTAATGGTATGATTTATAAAGACATTGCATCGTTTAGAGTGGCAAGTCCAGGATAAGTCATCAAAGTTTCTAAAACGAACAAAATCGGAGTTTCAAACGTAAAAAAAATGTTGGTACACTGTACGACCCAGTCAGGGTAATATTTGTTTGTTACCTATAGTGAGTCAGGTTTTATCTGGAGGGTACATGGTACTACGTTTGAAGTACAGAGAGATATTACAATTCACCGTAACTCTGACAACAGAAACAAAAGGAACACAACTGAAAACAGGTGATTTTTTTTCTTCATGTTTTTATGTTTTGTAAGTAAAGAACTTCAAATACTTGTTTTCATATCATAAATAGTACTTCTTATTGGTTTATAGTATTATAAACATAGCCATTTTCATATATAGTGTCTTATTTACACAAACAGTTAACAATATAGTCGTAATGTTATAGTGCTTGAAAATTATGACTAGCAAGCGGAAATGTCTATCAGTGTAATAAAAATATATAGAGTTAGTTAAATCAAACGTAGCGGTGGAGCCGAACAACGCATCAAAACTTTTTGAAATCCTTTCTCATCCCCAAATTAAAATATTGGTTTGGTGAAAATATTACCCATTAAAACAAACTTCAAAGATTAAAAGTTTTTCATATTTAGCATTATCATCTCAAATTCATCATGCCAAAAAGAGAGAAGATTCATAATATCCATAAAATACAACTTTTCGTCTTGTGCCATACATGAGTAGTAGTTCAATAAACATACTTCATTTAGCACTCGTAAAAATGAAAAACAATTTACAATTATTATTTTTATTATGACAAAATAAAAACCATGAGATGTACAGTACCTGATGAAAGGTGAATGCGACGTTTCTTTAAATCAAATGCAAGTAACAAAACAAAAAAACAAAATACAATCTTTTTACTACAAAATATGCGTCATGATGATAAACAAAAAGGATATGGTTTGGTAGAGAAAGACTTACATTATACATAGGACCATGCGTAGGAACCAATACTGAACATTCAAGTTTAGATTGTTGAACAAAATGTACATTCTTGTTTTGCCCTTCATCTATAGTAGCAGTAGTATAATCAGATAATATCATAATATTAAATCAGATATTTGAAATATCGGTGGTATAGTCTTAATCGTTCTACTCAAAAGTCAAAATATTTGATTTATTCTATGATTATACGTGATTATAACAATGCGGGTTTATATTTCTTTCGTATAAAAAGGTGAGGGTAACATTGAAACTAATATATTGCTAATGAGTTAACAGATATCATAAGAACTTGCGGGATGCAAACATACATCGCGATAGTGAATTTCATGTATAACGTAAACACTTTTATTTCCGTAGTTATCTTTCATCCTTTTTGTTACTCGAAAATTGTATGATCTACTTAACCGTCAATAATCTTTATGTTGTTGTATCTTTCGTTTCGTGAATCAGTAAATGCAAGTTATTTTTCGAAGAAAAATTGATTATTCCATGCCAAGTATTTATTAGCCAAAATCATTGCATATGGCAATATAATTATGAATTGTAAAAATATCAACGAGACCGCATATCTACTCCTACAAAATTCATCGCCTTCATGAAACATGTTTTAAGTTTACCTTAATGTTAATTCTCAATTATTTTATCAAAGGAGTTGTTGAAAGCCTACACACTTTGTTAACAATTTTAGCAGTTCAATTTATTGATGATACGACATAATTTAACCGCATTTTAGTTTTTCCTTATCTGAATATGACAGTAAATAAAATTATACTGAGCAGCTATAGCAAAATGATTATAATGATAGAAAGACTATAGTCATAATATTTCATACATTCAAACAAAAATTCATATTATTGGTTTCTTGGTAAATACGTTAATCGGTATTGATAGCACACACACTCACACCCACACACACATAGAAAACGAGATTGATCAGTGGAAGATTCAGATTTAGAAAATTCCACAAAACATTGCATAATGACATATCTGTCGAGTAGTTTCCTCGTTGTTGTGCTGTTCACTTCAATGTCAGTTTGTTAAACTGTTTATAACAGAATTTTCCTTCCGTCGGATATAAGTTGTTGTTTTTTCTTCATGAAATTGATGCAAAGTCTCTCCGATAATTGCCCGATTTAAAAGGATCATTGCCTACCAGTCATCATTTGTGGTCAGTTAGGTTTAATACGTCGTTCTCCCCTTACCGTTACAAATTGGTTATAGATTTTTGGTCGGTGGTTAATGTTACCTTTTAAAACTGGCCGCAGAAAGTTATTTATAAGTAACCATTAGTGTTTGAGATAAGATTCTTATTCTAGTAAAGCCCCATCGCGTCAGCAACTGGCGCGGTTCTGAAAGGCGTCATTTGAGCGTGAACAGCGTCCAAACCTTATTATCAAAATTTGTAATGAACAAAGAAAATATTGCGTTGAATTACTGGCGCAAGGAAAATTTACCCTGACGGGCCTCATTGACGCAGGTAATAGCGCAATTGAAATAACGCTTCGTGTGCGACGGTTTTAACGTCGCAGAATGACGACGTCTCCAAAACAATAGGTAAGTGTCGTTGGTCATGCAATTTGTCTTTCCAAGATTACAACGCAGGGTTTGTGGGATCAACGTCATAGAAGGATTGTTGTCTCTAGGTTAAAACGCAAGGGAGTGGGGTCAAAGTCTTGGAGGGACTGCGTCTCTAGATTTAAAAAAAACGCCGGGGAAGAGTGGTAAAATTCTAGAGGGGTTGCGTTTCTGTGTTAAAACGCAGGAGTGGTAGTGTTAAAGTTGTAGGATTACCTCTCCAGATTAAAACGCAAGGATGTCGGAGTTTGAGTCATAGAATGACTGCGTCTCCAGATCAAAACGCAAGGGTGTCGGAGTTTGAGTCATAGAATGACTGCGTCACTCTCCAGATTAAGACGCAGGAGTGGTAGTGTTAACGTTTGAGGATTGCGTCTCCAGATTAATAAACCGGAGTAGTGGGGTTGAAATCGTAGAAGGACTGCGTCTCCAAGACAATAGGCTTGGTGTAATTGGTGGTGTTATGATGATCCGCTGCCTCCCAGAGTAATGGCGCTCGTAATATGATGCCTACGGTTCCACTCAGACACATCAGAGCAAAGATAAAGAGGAACATACGATCCATCACCAAGGCAACGAAACGCCAGTCTTCGCTTATCTGTATCGGAAGAGAAGAAACAAAGGTGTTGAGTACGGAACGTCTGTTTTACATTAAGCCGATCATGTTTCAATTAAGGAAATGAATAGTTATTAAAGAAAAGGAAACAAAATACGGATAAAAAGGAAAATTCCAACATATTAGTGTAGCCATTATTGCAGTTTTTAATTTAGATAGATATACCGAAGGACATTTTCAGTGGGGATGTTCACTTATATCCACCCCCCCCCCCCAATGGTAATCTCGGCATAACGACAACCTTACCTGGCATGAATTATTTTAGTGTTCTTTAAAAAACCCTCTTCTTTCTTGAATATGAAGAATCTTCTATTGTACAGTTTTGTACTGTTAAAAGTATTACACATGAATCTCACTACTCTTTACAGGGTTCTCTTTTTCTCTCACTTATTTAATTTCGTACTAAAAGTTGATTAGATTGTTACCTGATCTTCGTCATCTTCTCTTTTCATATGCATTGCGATGACCTCGAGAGAGTCCAGCATATCCATGCATTCTTTGGGCAAGGACGCACTGGACGAGTTAATGTCCCTGTTCCTACTCTCAATCTCTTCAAGCAACGATGGTGTTATGGTATCAATCACATACTGCGCTCCAGACCTCAAGAATCTTTTATCGGAAGACGCTCCAAAAATCCTCCCACACAGACCCGCTGACGCGAGTTTCTTCTTCATCTTCTTGGCCGATTTGTGCTTCTCGTGTTCGAATGGCTTCGTCGGCCTCGGCATGCACATGACCTTGGGCATGAGCACGAGGAAGATGTAATGCATCGACGACGACATCTCATGCGTGCGAGCGTTCCTGAAATGAAAATTAATGATGACGACGGTGATGGTGATGGAGAGCGTTACCAACACCATGGTGAAAAGCATGTAGCGACCGATCAACGGCAGCGTGGTCGATGTCGGTGGGATGATGTCGGGAATGAGGAGAAGGAACACGATGAGGGCCAGGAGGATGGAGATGGAGAGGGTTATTTTCTCCTGAGCGTCTGATGGTAGGAAGAAAACGAGGATTGTGAGGAAGGAAATAAGAAGACAAGGCACTACGAGTGTGACCACGTAAAACAACGGTTTCCGATGCAGCTTGAAATATAATGTTACATCCACGTATTTATCGTCACAACACGGATAGGTAATCTCGTTCCGCGTCGCCGGCGATTCGACGATCTCCCATTCACCGTTCGGCCAATAGTCCTCCTGATCAACGACATCGTTAGAGGACGCCATGTCGATCTTGAGTGTATCGTGAGTCCATGGACCGAACTTCATCTTACACGATTGTTCGTCAAAGGGAAAGTATTCGATATCTATTGTACAGGAGCTTTTGTAGATCGCGGGTGGCAACCACGTGACTGTCCCCGTGTATTTTACTATGGCGTTCACCAGAAACTGCACATCGAAATTCCCATTGGCACTATAGAGAGGAGAGAGAGAATGAAGCACAGAAATCAGAAATTGTGGTAATGGAACAACTAAACTTCACCCGGAGTTATTTATCACCTAATAAGTATGAATTTTTATACATGGATTTATTCCACAAGACATAGTACAGTTCAGCTTATCTCAGAGTAAAGATTTGAAATATCCCAGAATTATGAATGAGCGCATGTAACTTAATAGGTTTAAGTTGATAAAATCTGATTAAACAGACCTTTTGATCGAGTACACTTCAGAAATCTTATATTTTGCAATTAGTATCAATCTCTAGACGGATATTCACACACAAATGTGAATTTTGTTGTTGTTAATACATGCATCATATATCGCACTACTAGTCGGAATTTCATTATATGACCTTAATTAGTACACTGATTATTTCTTAAATCAATTATTTCGTATATTTTATTCTTTATAAACATGCACTACTGTATGTATTTACTGTATGTTTTCGTATATAATTCATGACCACCATATAAAACTGTCTAGTGCTGAGTGTATTATCTTGCTGAGATATATCCTTATAATGGATAAATAACTAGACAAATAAATATTGTGAATAAATAAATAAATAGTAAATAAATGCAAGAAAATTAAAAACATTAATGAATAAATAAATTGAATAAAACAAATTTTCAAAATAAATAAATAAATAGCAAAGTCAAATAAATAAATACGGGGGAGAGAATAAATGAATGAAATATATTTACTTGTTGTATAATAAGATATCAGGTCGCCAGATGTTTTCAGCAGGAATATGGAGTTCAGTGATACCCTCATAGTCCTCTGGATTCCACATTAAATGATGGTCCTGCCATTCCTGTTTATAAAAAAAAAAAACATCAGACACAAACAAATAATGCTTGAAATTACTTTAAATTCAACCAAAAATGATTGAAGCAACAATCAATAATTTTGAAAATGTTCCAACATCGTCAATTTGAAATTGAAGGTCATATTAGTCTGGATATCAATGGCATGTTTTTTAATTGATCAGCTGAAATTGATAAGCTATCTTTCTCAAAAAAAATTGGCATCCCTTATATTATTTTGAATAAAAAGTCATGTATTGAAAAAAGTAAATCACATCAACAACAGAAATCAAAAGAACGTGTAAGTTTGCCATTCTTCCCTTAAAATACTGTATATATATTTCGTGTAACAAATCCTTTAACTTTAAATATTGATATGAAATATTAATTTGATTCATTTTACTATTTGCCTGCTTTATTTGCAAGCTTTGATTAATTAAAAAATTGTTATCCATAATTATTCTAATTTAAAAAAAAAGAGAAATTAACTTACATGTTTGACCCAGACACTTGTTGTCATCACTTGGTTCTTTTCATCCTGGAGAGAGAAATAAATAGAGAGATATATGGATAGAGAGAGAGAGAGGGAGAGAAAGAGAGATAGATAGGGAGAGAGAGAAAGAAAGAGAGAGAGAGAGAGAGAGAGAGAGAGAGAGAGAGAGAGAGAAAGAGGAAGAGAGGGAGAAATGAAATTGAGATATTTAGGAAAAGGAAGGGGAAACACAAATACAAAAGAAAGGAATATAGAAATGGGAGGAATATGGGTAGAAATATTTTGAGTGGTGAGGGAAGGATGAATAATAATAAAACAAGTAAAAGAAGACAAAGATGGATAAAGATGAATGGAAGAGAAGACAAAATGAAAGAAAATGAATGGATTAATCATCGGTTATGTCATCAAGGAGGAACATGCTACGTTTGTCCATGTCCCATCTAAAACTTTGCCGTCCATTCATTCCTGTGTTTGTTAATTTGAATCTTGATTTGATCGGATTTCTGTGACAGGTACTGGGAATGTAATTGATAATACATGTACAATCATTAGCAGCCTTCTTTTAAACTAAATCAATATTTGACTGTTGCAAGACCTCAACGGGAGGTGCTGCCGATCTCATGGACGCTTGAATAAAAACTAAAGCCCCTTCGTCACACCTATAAGCAATTATTGACAACTGCATGATGTCATTATTTGAGTGGTTGAGATATCATGCTTTTAAAAAATCGAAAGTTGTCTGATCCGTGGTGCTTTTATATCCAAAGTGCCCGATCGAATTCGTCCGACTTTAATAATAGATGTAGTTTAGTTTATTGACATGCATCGATGTTTTTTTTTTTAATAGATGACAGCGAGTGATATTTCAATCTTAAAATAGATAGCGGTCTGCGTATCATTTCTTCTTTAATTAATGCTTTAAATGGATGATCTTTTTTTTTCCTCTCTCTCTTTAGAGTTCGTAGTACATGTATAATTATTTTATCTCGTTTTTAATATCGTTTAATCTCTCTCCCAACATTTGTTGGGTGTACTTACTATTGCTATGAGTTGTGATATGGAAAGTCCAAACTTGACCACGACAGGGTCGGATTCGTTTTTGACCGGTCTGATGAAGATGTTGTAGTCTTCTGTTAAGTTTGCGTACAGTAATTCAGCAGCCCTGGATGCTGCGGTACCTGTGACCATGGTAATAAGATGAGGGAACAAAGGTAAGCAATTTTGATAGCAATGTGGTATTTGTTATCATAATCATGGTCATCATCATCATCGAAATCATTAATCATTACAGTTGTTATCAGTTCCACTCATTTCATGATCCTTATCCTCATTACTGGCATCCCCATCATTATCATCATCAATATTTGTATGCTAATGCCCCAAAATTCATATTACAGTTATCATCTTCACCACCACCATCATCATTATCATTATCATCATTATCATCAATATCATCTCCAACAATTCCACCGTCATCTCCAATATCACTACGATCGTTATTACCACTATCATCGTCATCATCATCCCCATCATCAACATCATCATTTTAATCTTCGACAATTCTAACGTCATCTCTGACATCATGTTCATGAATAATTTCCAATATTATGTTGGACACGCTAAGCTTTATATTGTGTGACGTCACATTAGGTGAGGTGAACCCTAGAGTGGAGAATCATCTTAAAATTCAAGCATGAAGTTCATATCTTATTAAGCACACTATAAGCAGATTAAATATAGTTGATGCAGCACTGGCAACGACTAGGGAATGACTGTCTTGTGTGAAGAAAGGATGAGCTTAGAGTCATCATGAGGTGTTTTCACCGCAATGTGCACTTTTTCTATCGGATAACTGAGTCTTGTCTGGCAAGGTAATAAAGATGGTATTAAAGCATATATTCCCGGATGAAGTACTCAATACATGATGAGAAGCACAGGGAATCTCATCAATTGCTCATCTATTCTCGATAAAGTCCTTGATAAAAAACAGCGCTACCAATTTTCACGCAGACGGCATGTGGGCATTCGAGTAAATTCCTGTCATTTCTTTTTATGTTCTTTGATTCACCCTTTCTCATTCTATGCCCCTCCCCCTCTCTCTCTTTCTGTCTCTCTGTCTCTCTCTCTGTCTCTTCCTTTCACTCTCTCTATCATTCTATCGTTTACTTTCTCTATATTTCTCTCTTTCACTTTTTATATCTCTCTATCATTATATCTGTCAGTTTCATTATATTTCTCTCTTACACTCTCTGTCACATTATATCTTCCCTTGTTTGTTCTCTCTCTCTCTCTTTCTCTTTTTCCTTTTCACCTTATTCAGGGATACAATTATGTCTCTTTGAAGAAGAAAAAAAAAGTAAATTTGGATGGGCTGCCTGTGCCCCCCCCCCCCCCACCTAAAGCCACCGCGACAGTACAAAACAAATAAATGGATAATGCAATTAGAATATAATGTTATGTTTCATACTAATGTGACCTTGGATTAATTAGGCGCGATCAAATGGTTTGGGCATAACATCAATAATTGACTAATTGTCGAAAAGTCATTGATACTATGAGCCATCAGGCCTCATTAGGAAAAACAATTCCAAATGTTCATCAATACTTGAAGTGTGTACTTTGACAAATGGAATACAAAAATGTATATCCATTATCATCTCTCTGAATGTTTTTACAGCGTTGTTTTTCCAATTTTCTGCGTGAAAAGCCCATATGCCGAATAAGAAACATACCCGACCGGCCACCAAAGATCGCTCACTGGCTGGTGGCTCGATCCATCACGCATATATACTGTCGCGTTTTCTGTTCATGATTATAAACCCCCACCAAGTAGCCATTCAAAACCTCGCAAGTAATCAATAATATTGAGTACTATTTCATGCGGTTTGTTTTATTGCACAATTGTTCTAATGTGTCCAAGGTTTATCTAATCCTAATTATTTGATTGGACAGTGCATTTGCCTCTGTCTGGTCAAACGGAATGAACCATGAAGAAGTTATTTAAAGGTCCTCGTCAATATTTTCGAGTTAAAAATAAAAGGGGTTCGATTGTGCGTTAACATGTGTATTAAAGTGCTGGCAAAAGCACTGTGGAAGTTCTAAAGTAAAGCTATTATTTTGTAAAGGAGAGTTTTAAATGTTTATTTACGTTGGTATGTTTTACATGTGCAGTTAAATAATTCACTAAAAAATTTACTTAACTATTGGTTTTACTAGAAGAATATTGCAGCCTATGTTTGTTTTGAGGTATCTCCATGTTCACAACATAAAGTGTACCACTTGTTACCTATCCAAACCACTACAGTAGCAGTACTAAAACGTGGGTGTGTGCATTATTATTATTAAAAAAAAAAATCTTTTCAATAGTTTTTCTAATTAGATTTTGATAATAATCCTTTCATGCAAGGATTTTGTTCCAATAAGTTTAAATTTGAATTTGAGTTTGTACATATAATAACACAGCAGTGGTATACTACTTTATTGTCAATAATATACTCAACCATGTTTTGATTTGAATAACTGTCGTTGGTTACAAATATACTTCGACTCGGTAGAAATGCTTCCAAAGGCGAATGACCAGCTTTAATCGGCTATAAAACACAAAGGCAAAGATTTTAATGCGTCACAGAGATTTTCAGGATAAGAGGATAATTATCTTGGTAGGGGACTGGTCCTTCTTGATAGTTCTCCGCCACTTGAATAGATTAATCGGACTAAGGCACGATAAATGAAAGGATATTCTCCGAGCTTTGATGATTTTTGGAGAGTACCCTCGCAAACCTCTTCATCCTCTTGATAGCTGTGACTCGCAACCACACGGCATGCACAAAATACCATTGTTTGCTGTCTGAAAGTGGATTTGCTCGTAAACACCTTTCAATCTTCTTGTTTGGAAGATTTGAAAGTACATGTAATAGGGTGTGATGGTGCGTTACCGGAGACAGGTAGATTTTCTGATTGGTGCAGAATACTACTTTTCGGCTCATTTCTGTTTCGTATTTACATTATGAAACAGACTAAAACAGACTATATTTAGGATGATAGAACTATCCAAATTTTGTGCACTACCAGATAGAGAATCGGCATCTCATCCAATATAGTACCATATTCATGCATTAAACTCACACTATCACTGCTTGGTAACTTGTTTATAAATTATATCTAAACTCTCGCACCGACTCACAATTGGATGGCATCAACTATTCTTACTAACGTCTTAACGACGCAAAATAATGAATTGTCCTGTATACTATTTTTGTCATGACGATTAAAAGTCGCCAACGTAACCACGACTTGTCAATACTATTCAAGATTCAAACTAATTGGACGATTAAAAGTTTTCGTATATAGCAATTGTAATCTTCGCGGGAGACATTCCAACTATAGTACATGGCTTCTCATAACCGTTAGCTCAATTCAAACACGAGAAGAAAATGTAAAGGAAGCCATTTAAATACTTCTTATAAGGGCTCGTACCACGGGATACCAACACTTGCTTCGTCAACTTTTCTGAGCCCTTTTCATAGATGACTTACCGAAAACAAACGGACATAAGTTGGTAGTTATCTATTCAATATTTTGCCTGTGTGGATCAACAAATTGCGATTTCTTACGCCTAAGGTGATAGTGAAAACAAGTTTGATTCTAATGGAGTGCTTTCTTTTTCTGCAAGGTGCATCGCGGACGTACAAGACAGTGTCGACGACAGATACAGTTGTATCTACATGGTTATATCGGGAGAAATGTCAAGCATTTAGAGCATCACAATATCGGAATAGAATTGAAGGATATGGATTTCAAAACTGAATTAATGATAGCTTTTTAGAGTGAAGTATGAGATTGATTTTTTTTCCTGATGACATTATACTGATACACCGTAGTTTAACTTCATTGAATGGTTTAATTCAAACAGTAAATTGTATTCATAAATACAGTAGGACCTCGTTAAAAAATAACACTTTAACTTAATTACCTTATTACAAGATTGATATCAAGATTAGAATAGCCATGTTCGATATATTACATCAGACTACCCACTTTGTATAGTTATTGATAAATTATATAATTCGAATATGCATGTAGTCATTCTTTTACAAGGAATATTGCAATCTTATGCAAGGGGTACATAGCTATCTATATACGAACTTTTAATCCGTAAAAAGTACCGGTAATTCCTCAGTAAAATTTATCGATCAAGTTTGGCAGTAATGATGCAATTAAAGGTGGTAATGGCGCTGTAATTGTGCTTGTACTTTACGCTTGGTTGCTGCGTTATTGTGTGTCAAAAAGAAAGCTACCTCTTGACGTCACGAAAGAGTGCGCTTGGTAAATCGATTACCCCCCCCCCCCCCCTTCCCTGTCTACCCCCTTCCCCTCCCGCTGGGTGCAAGAGACACCGTACGACTGCTCCTTTGAAGGCGATTATTGAGTTAAAATAAAGTAATATTTATTTACGTTTAAATTCTAAAGAGGTTAAGGCATAAGAGATCTGTACGAGAGCTAAAGCTTTCAGGCACGTCGGGTTCTTGTTTTATGTTGTTGTTTGTCTTGTTTTCAACTGTTTTTAGTTTCCCCTTTCTCTGTCACTATATTCAATTTTTGTATCTATAGATGAAGTGTTGAACTAGTGTTGATGAAATGTATTGAGATCGAAATGGAATGAAAAATGCTGTGTGTACATAACGGTTCTTGACCATTTTTCAAACATCCGCGGATAAAATAATGAGTGATTTTGTTGTTGTTGAAACGAAAACTTTGACACTGATTATTAGGCAACATATCTTTGTATGGGAAAATCACACGCAACATACAGTATCTGGAGGTACATGAAGGGGCGTTCATCCACTTTTTAAGGATTTGGAGGGGTGCAAAAAGGTTTTGGGATACATTTATCAGAGGCAAACATGTAAACATGAGGGGGGGGGCTCTTTCCCTATGCAGTATAGTGGATCGGATGCTTTTTAAAATGTGCCTTTGATACCACGTAAGTGCATAATGAACATATTTTTGTTCGAATATATATCTGGCTGTTACACAATCTCAAAGGGGAGGGGGGTAAACAGGAATTTGCTCCTCTCATGTCCCGCACATACCGAAGCTATCAAGACGGCAGACTGATCGATACTTTGGATCAGGATATCGATAAGCTTACTCAGTTGATGAAATACTAATAGACCAT